TTTCTTTAGTGCTCGTCAAGGGACCATTGGATCCAGCCAAAAGTTGCAGTGGGATAAAGGCCTGTTGATTTTTTCTAATATAGGGAAATATGTCGTCTGGCATAAATAATCTCAGTTTCCACCATAAAACCTTGAATCTGAAAAAAATATGTAAGGCAAGTTACTCTTCTCCCATAGGCAACACATAAAGGTCTGAAGTGATAGGTGGATCTCCTGAAGACTTTCCCTTAGTTCGGAATTTATGATCGTGGACGACCACTTTCCAAAGACATCTTTGCTTTTGGGTTAAAGAATGTATTGCATTACTACCAAGGTTTCCGGACCCAAAAACACGCTTTTTTTAAAATCACATTGTCATTGAGTACCCCCCTTTATTGGAATTATAGGGGAATGGTGCTTTCAGCTCTTGGTGTGGTAGCTGCCTACACCATTCCTCCAAGACGCAGCAGCAAAGGGCTGATGGGTCTTCTGCACCACATAGCCCATGATTGGGGATGATGGAGCCCAGAGGAAAGCATGTAGATTCAGCAAGGGCCTGAGAGTCGTCTAGGGGCAGTAAACAGGGAGAGAGTCATTAAGTTACAAAATTCAGGGAGCCGGCCAGTTTGCTGAGAGTTTCTCATGTTGTTTTACCCCCGTTCATAAGGCCAATGTTAAAACGATATCCCTAGACTGTAGGTTTTTAAACACTGGGTCATAGATCATGGGCATACCAGTCTTTGGGCTGCACAAAATAAGCAGAATGGTAAGAAAATGCTGCAAAGTGGACACTGTTGAACTTATTAGTATCTTCCTTATTTTATCTTCCTGGTCGAAATGCACTTATATGTAAGTCGCTTTGGATAAAGCGTCGCTAAATGCAATTGTATTAAGTAATTAGTGCAAGCTTCTTTACTCCTACGGAAATTCTTATTCTTATTCCGCCGGTTATTTTGTCCAGTCTTCTTCTCCACTCCACATCGCCAGAAACTCCGTTAAACGTTTTTTCAGCTCGGTCGGGAATCGATTCCATTATACTTTTCTCATCCATAATTTTCATAATTTCCGAGATATATTCCCATAAGGTTTATCACATTTTAATTGGATAGTCACTGGGAGAATCTCTTCAGATTTCTTTGAAAATCTTCCATGCGACTTCTAACTGCTACTTTCATACATTACTCAGAAACCCTCATTCCAACTTTAAATTGTTGACATCTTTCTGACGTTATCATTTACAACTTTGAATCTGAGAGATAGTTTTGCGATATTAACATTGTTCAGACCTTCGGTAAAGAGGCCTTCTTCAGATTTTAACATTAGTGTGTATTTTGCGCAGGCTCGTAAGGCTAGAGTGCGTGATGTCACAGGCTAGAGTGGGGACGCTTGAATTCGCCCTTCATATTTTTATTTTTTTTAAACCTGCCATTTTCCCAAACACTACATTCCTGGGACTAATTTCCATGAGATAAGTAGGAAAACTCCGTGCTTGTGAAAAAAAAGAAGCAAATAATAAACAAAATGCGTTTGAGGGCATGAAATGCACACTTTACATGTCTCCATTAACGCCCATTCTAAATTCAGGCTCATCTTCCTCACAGCAGCAGCCGGCACACCCCCCCCCTTTTTTTAGTTAATCTGCCATCACATGATGGTTAACCACTGTGGCCCTGAACCAGCAGTTCTACATTCAAATCGTGTTACGTTAATTGGTGGTGTTACTATGGCAACGAATCCCCATAAAATTCCGATTTTGCTGGTAACTCAATGGACACTCGTTCGGATCATCCTCCCAAACTTCAACTTGGTATTATCACAGGTCATGCCGTCAACAGACTCTACGCCGAATTCTGACGATCTCACCATAGGGCTGTATTCCACGGAAATGCACTTCCCTCGCCATAAAAACACGATGTTGTCGTAACTGAAGATGGAAAGGGTCAAAACACCACCAGACTTCAGATTGACAGTTTAATGATCCGCCTCAACTCTTTCTATGTGCCATTACTGAATTTTCCTCAAAAGCTGTTGGCCATGGCAACGCATCCCTTACAATAAAATACGATATTGCTATAACTCCTATGAAAATTGTCAAAAAGTGCTAAAACTTCACATGTGTGCTAACAGTCCAGCCGTGAAGAAATCTACGGCACAGTTTTGAGATTTCTTCAAATGCCGTTGCCATGGCAACACAATGCTCGCCATGAAACACGGTTCTCATAACTTCAGTGAAAATGCTCCAAACGGCCCACAACTTCACAGGTTTGGTAACAATGCAGCCATCCACATATCTAAGCGTATTATGGGGGCGTCATCAAATACCGTTGCCATGGCGACAGATCATTCTCCATCAAGTTAGTTCAATAGTTTGCAGTTCAAATATTCTGCTGCTTTTTTACTTTATTTTCTTCTCTTATCACACATTCAAGCCCCCAGTGTTCATGTATCATTTCAATCTAAATTCTTCACTTTCTTCTTACACATTACATCATAGTAATTCAGCATAAAGCATTCCCCACTAGAAATTTCTTCAGGAATTGCATTCTCTAGTTATGAACTGTTACTCCTATGGTAAAAGACAGTCCAACATAAGTAGACATTAACTACTTCCTCAAATGCAAAAAACTAGAGCGAACTTAAATTTATGATGTTCAATTAAAACTATGGGAAAAACTCAATTGACAATGAATTTGGGGAACACACTGTGTACCTTAGGGATTGTTCTCAGTAAATGGGTAAATGTTTTGTTGAGAATATTACAATAGATAAAGCTAATTTGGAAATAGAACAGAAAAAGGCTGTAGATTCCCTAAATCAGTCTCCCATTCATTGTCTATCTAGCAGCTTCAGACTTGCTATACCTGATGACATCACAAGTTTGAGACTGACTTCCATGGTTGGTGGCTTTGAGAGGGAGAAGCTTATCAAATTGTTAATCAATTAATTATCATGTGTGACTACCTTAAATTCTTATTTAAAACACTTTAAGGATGATAGTGCATGGGTTGTCTTACTGATGTTTTGATTTAGTTTTGCTGTTATATATATTAACATTAATATATGTACACGTTGGGATTCTTTGTTCAACTTCAAGTCATGCAAGAAAAAGTTTTCTTTGAGAATTAAAAGGTGAGCCATTTCTAAACAAATGATCATTTGGGGGAAGGTTTTATTCCTCTATCAGATGTCCCATCCTATTCAAATGTGTTATTTTTATATCTTTGACCTAATGGAAACTTAAGGAAAGGGAACATTTTTCAGTTCATTTAAGTTGTATTCAGTGTGAAAAAATATCCACACTCACACATCTGAATATTAGTTGTGTTCCTATGTCATCTTTTAACTGCATAAACACGTGCCATGCAGGCCATCCCTATTGATTTTATATTCATGGCCAGAAAGTAAACTATGCTACATTGAACTGCAGGCATTAGTGCTCAGAAAATAAATTCAGATCAGAATTGTCTTTTCAAATGAGGCTCAACATAAATAATTGCCATAGTTGTAATACCAGACAGATCACCAATAGCTTTTAAATCTGGTGGCATATGTAATGTCAGAATTGATATCATGTGCAGAGTTCAATGTAAAATGTAAAGTGAAAGAAAAATGCAGGGGCTATACTCCAACTCACATGGCCATTAAAGGTTACATTATAATTGACAGTATCTTTCAATGACAAAAGTCACACATAATTAGTACAATTCTACTGATAGGACAGATGGACACAGTTGAAGACAGTAGGACCTTCATATGAAGTAAAGATACTCGCTTTATACTCAACAGGAGTTAACAGTTTTATTCATACAGAGATTATAGACAACTTTAATCTGCATATGGATGTCGTCCTCTGTTCAGTGTCCCCAATCTTAGACTGGACTTCCTGTTGAGAAAATGTTTAGCAACGTTAGTCTTATGGCAAGTTTTGAACAAAACAAATACCATAAATAAATACTCATTAACCTTGGTCAGAAATGGAAACATCTGATGCATTGTGGGCATGAAGCCATTGGATTCTGAGGTGGAAAAAAACAACAATAACTTCATAATGAAAAAGACTATACTATATTAAAAAAAAGCATACAAGTTAGCATAAAAGCGATACCCCATTTGTCTCCTTTCTTGGAGCCATGGGTCCTAGAACAGCAGTCACACATGGAGCTCTGCATGGGGTCATCCAGTGTCACGATTCTTATGTCATGTCACGGTTTTAGTTTGGTGTGTCTGGTAATGGGTGTTTTGCTGTTCGGTTCTCCCTGTCATGTTTTCCTCCATTACCAGACACACCAAACTAAAACCGTGACATGACATAAGAATCGTGACACTGGATGACCNCTCATATGCTACACACAAGGGTGTCTATTTCATCTATTTGAAAGGACGTCAGGGAGCATAATTATATTATATATCCTTTTTAAACCAGAACACACCTTTTACCTCCCACATTTCATTTAGACTGAAAAAATATGATGACGGATTATAAAGGCTTATTTCCAAAACCTTAATAGAAGCTTCTGTACAGCCTCTATGCAACTCTAAACATGTTTATACAAATAACTTATTGGTTACAGATGTTATTTGCCAAATGTAAACGATCTTACCTGTCCCACGATTGGCTTGCGCAGGCTCCGCAGACCCCCTTAGGGCCCACCGTCTGCACGCCAGTTTGTTGAGGTACGACTGGCAGGCTGCCCAGCATGTTGTCAAGCTTGTTGACCTGCGTCGGAGAACCACCAGAACACCACCCTTCCCCTGGGCCATATCTGAAAACGGTTCAATTATGAAGACTTGATACACACAGGAACATCCTTAAATATTTTTGAGGTTAACTCGGTTTAAACCGTCAAAAGGTGGAATAAGAAGAAGGGTAAGAAGAGGGGTTCATGCCTGCATTGTAAGGAAGATTGGGTCATACTCAGTTTGGCAGCCTACTGACACCAGGACTTTGGGTGGAATCGGTGTGACCGCTTCACAGGTGAAGGGGGGCGGCTTTTAAGAACACGTGGAGGGGGCTTCTGGTTGGGAGCAGGTGGTCCCGAATTGGGGCTGGTGGAGGTGGGCTTTATAGGAAGGGTTTCCGGAGAATGGGGAGGAGGTGGAGGGAGTAGTGGAGGGATAGGGAAAGGCGGCTGGTGTGAATGTGGTATGAATGGTCGCTTGGGTTCTTCTATTGATAGAAGGGGCGGCGGGGGTGAGGGGGGAGGAGGGGGGAGCGCTCCTCCACAGGGACAGGCGACTCTAGGTGAATTATGATCTGAGAAAAGAGAAAAGCAGAGAAGGAGGGAACACAGAGAGCAAAGTGTGTAGAAAACTAAAAGGTGAATTCATTGTGAAATATTTGTGGTTCGGCACACTGAAGCCAACCTTGTCCACCTCGCTGCCCGCCCCCTCGGGACGGAAACGCTGAGGTTTGGACGATACGATGACGCCATCCGTCATCCACTCGTCGGACTGTTTACGCCGGCGCTCTGAGCGACCAATACCAAACTTTCCCTGAAGCTCCTCGATGAGGCGGTCCTGAGAAGTGCTCTTGTTTACAATGACGGGTCCCAACTTCCTGCGCAGGTGACCGTCTCGGAACATGGGGTGGACGTTGGGAGTCTCCTTAGTGCGCCTAATCACTGACTTTATCTGGGAGGGAATGGTGAGCACTTTACCAAAACGTCCACACCAAACATGAAGCAGCTACAGCAGAGCTCGGAGGCAGCGGGTGAGGCAAATGCTGATTTAAATCCCTGATAGGCCGGTGCTGTGGTCAGTGAGCTCAGAGTCACACTTCATGCACCTCTTGCATGCCTTCAACAATAAAAAAGCCCTTACCGATCAAATCTTTTCCAGCCTTTGTAGTCACTCAAACAACCACAGCAGGGCGTGTTAGGTCCTTCACACACAACTGGTGCAACAGTGTCATGCTGAGCAGTGCTGTACTGTCAATCAGTGGGTTATTTATAAGTGCAGTTTCAAAGCAAAAACTGTCGCTACACAGAGGGTCTTCTGAGCTAGCTTGCACTCCATCAGCTTTGTTTTGACTATCAATATTCATATATCCTTTCCTTCCTTTTTTGCGAAGCTCAAACATGATACGGTTTCTGCCCAGATCAATGTTTATCTAATGCTATTGATGATGCTCAATAGTAAGGCGAAAGTTGTTTTTTTAATCAATCAATTATCTATGAAAATAAAATAGAAACTAAGAGTAAACAACGGAAGCCGGATACGGGTTTTTTGACCAAAAATAAACTGAACAAAGTAATTTTTTGCTATACTCCAGAAATTAAGAATAATCCATTATTGAAATATGATATAATATTGCATAACAATTCCCTTCTCTGTGTAATAAGGACACGTAGATAAATATTCTGGATCATGTTTCAGCTTTTCAAAAAGAAGAACCGTTGAAGCAGGGGGAGCTTCACACTCTAAAAGCAAAACAATGTGAGCAAAACAAGCCCATGTGGTGTCAGGCAGCAGTGGAGATGCATACATGTCCGGAAGCAGACACTCTGTCTATAGTGGGCGTCTGCATGAGGGGCAGGTCCAGGGCCACGTCAGGAGTCCCGGGGCATGTAGACGGGGTCATGGAGCCATCCATCCAGCTGGCCTCTGTCAGCGGGGTCATGCTGCCATCTGTGTACGGCCTCTCGGTGAAAGGCGTCATGGTGCCGTCCAGCCCGTCGTGGAAGGACATGGAAAACTCCTCATCCGCCCAATCCAGATCTCCATCCCCGTTAGTGCCTCCGTCCAAAGAGCCGTCTGTGATGATGGTGTTGGTGGCGCTGGTGAAAGTGTCAGGCTGCACGCTGTTCCTGTCCAAGGGCAGGATGAGCTCCTCCTGCACCTCGAGACACTGTGCGTCCATCTTTAGCTCCTCCACCTGCGAGTTATTCTGTGCAAAACTCATGGCTAGCAGCTTGTCCAGTGCCTCGTCCAGGGAGGGCTCCCCCATCGAGGGGGGCTGTGCAGGGAAGGGGCTGCTGGGGCTTTTGAAGGCCGGTGGAGAGGGGGCCTTATATTGAGAAACTGGAGATGGCGAGGATGTTTTTGAGTAAGCATGTGCAGCGACTGGGATGGGTGAAGGAGTCTTTTGAGCTGAGGGAGAAGGGGTGGTGTTTTTGACAGGAGGTGGAGTGGAGAAATTCAAAACGATATCTTGAAATGAAGGACCCTCCTTGTTCGTAGGCGCAGGAGAAGAAGGGAATTGACCGACAGTATTTGAGGGCGAGACCCGCTCTACAGACGGACTGGGGGACTTGGAGGACTTGTGGTCCAGGACAGTGTTAACAGAGGTAAGGGAAGGGATGGTGGTGGTGTTGGATGGACTTGGGCTATTTCTCATAAGGTTGGAGTTAGAGGAAGGGGCCTGAGAGAGGACTAGCAGGGACTTGCTTTGGGAGGACAGCATGGAGGCAGAGACGTCTATGATAGAGTCCTGGTCTAAGTCACTGGCTGCAGAAAGAGAGGATATAGGACTGTGGCGACAGAAACGATTTATCGACATGCCACCGTCTCCTCCGTCCTCGTCTATGTGCAGCTCAAAACCAGCAGGTGAAGAGAAAAGAGGAGAGGCACAGGAAGACGGGTGGGACAGGCTAGGAAAAGGAGAAGCCACTGGGGTGACGGAGGAAGAAACCGGAGGATGAGGAGAGGTGGAAGAAGCTGGATCCAGCAGAGAGCCCAAAGAACTGGGCTGAAGGACAGAGAAGAAGAACAAAGGTAAGAGGGAGAGGACAGGAGAAGTGTTTGTTGATAAGGTGTTCACTCATGAGGCTTTGTACCTTGAAGTCAGACAGAGAAGCCATCAGCTCGTCTAGCTCTCTTGTTGCACAGGAAGCTGAAATTCTGGCTTGCTGCTGAGAGGGTGTGTCCAAATCACTGTGGCGGGCAGAGCAACTGTAAAATACAAATTGTGATGATTTGTAAACACATCAACACAACAAAGCCTTAGTAAAAGCAGCACTCAAAATATCTATTGTCGAAGATTAGAATCAGACTCAGGTTTGTTTGTCTTTGGTGCAGGCAATGCATAATCAACGTATTAAGAGGAAACACAAACACTGGCTACGTGCTGCAGAAAGACAAGAACTAACTGTGTTGGTCAAAGGAGTCTGGTGCATATGTGGATATAATGTTAGAAAAGGGCAGCCGGTAAGTTAAAGCCGTGTACATTCTCTAAATATAGAGTACACCTAACTGAGATTGACTTTTTTAGGGGGCTGAAAAATATTTTGGTGCTGCCCCGGTCCACAGAAGGACATTGCTTAACTCCTCTGCAGTAACTCCAACTGCCATCTGCTCTAGGTATTACACGGACTATGGACAAGTACCTCATATAACCTCACTTCAAAACATAATAACTTTCCCTTTCTACAGCTTTCATCAAGGGATGTTCCGGTCCAATCTCAACGATTGGTCGCGGCGCCCATTAAAGTATTTTTCCAACCGACTGATATGGCCTATAGAGAGCCAGAACCCATCCTATGTTTTTGTTTTCAACTTCCAAGCAAAGCTTTCATGCACAGCAGCTGAAGGAATGCAGATTGATTTTGATACAAAACATTAAATGCAGTTGCACTATGCATCTGTATCATAAGAAGTATCGGATCAGGACTCCAGACATCCGTACTTTTATATAAACACATGCTAAGTTAGGGTCCATGTCCACATATTGCCAAATACAAATCCAGGGGGGCAATGCTAGTCCTTCTTACAACTACTGTCACAGTTTGACGAGATATTGGTTTCATAGAAACAATAAAGAAATGCCCAAAGGTCTTCTTCATGAAAGGCTGGAAGGAGGCTCTATCCAGCTCCTTTCTGCCAGATGAAGGCGCTCAGTGGACTCAGGCCCTAAGAGTGAAGAGTGTACCTGGGTGAAGGCACTGAGCCCTCCAGCTCGTCCAGCAGACTCTCCATGCTGGGTCGGGCCTCCTCCAGCCTCGTGCCGTTCCTCTTGGGTTTCTCCTGAAGGGGAGGGCTCACCCTGATGTCAGGGGCGCCGCCGTTCTCGTAGTGCGTGATGCTGCAGGACGGTAAGGGTGGAGCAGCCTCTTCTGTGGACACATGACAGTACAATTAATCCTGCTCACTACAAACGGAAGTGATAAAGCCGAGGGCGTCTGTGTTTACCTGTGGTGGGGAATGAAGGGGAGCTCTGTTGCACCGCGTTGAGTTCCAGCAGCAGCCTGTCGAGCTCGGACAGGTTACTGCCCATGGCAGAGGTCATGGCTGCTGTCGACGAGTCCGAGGACTTCTGTTTGTTTGGAAAACTGAGGAGGAGACAGAAACAACTTGTTATGGTAGCTACAGCTGAAAGAGAACGACAGAGGATACACACAATTCTATACA